GATAGATAGATAGATAGATAGATAGATAGATAGATAGATAGATAGATAGATAGATAGATAGATAGATAATATAATCCTTGTGCAATCAAATTGTTTCCAAATCTTTGCAGTAAAATTTGTCTAAACCACAAAATCAAATCACTTGTAGCATAATTTTAAACCTGTGAAACAGAGAGGATAGTGAAGAGTTACAGGGACCACTTTAGAAGCAGGCAAAGCAAGTTTGCAAACAACTAAGATTTACCTTACTACAAGGGTGTCAAACCCACCCAGTCACATGACCGCCACGCCAGGCCTACCCAGCTGGTCATTAGGGCAGAGAACCCGTTGTTAAATTATTTGAATCTCACCACTGAGGCCATCCCAGCCAAAAATGGAGCTCAGGAGCCCGTTTTCACTGGCAGAGCGCTTGGGCCAACACAAGTGATATCAAGCTGGCCACACCCAGGCCCCCAATATGAAGCAGAACCTTGATGCGTCCCTCAATGAAATTGAGTTTGACACCCCTGGGCTAAAGCCTTTCACATCTGAAGTGGGGTGGGCTAGAATCTCTACTCCTGATCCAGCCCCTTTCCATTCTACACTGGCTCTTAGACTACAGAGCAAGGTAAAGGGGAAAAAAAAAGATTGGAAGGATCAGATACTTTTGCTTCCTTCCTCTCCCATGAAATGCCACCCGCTGATGAGAAATCTTCTGTCAGCTTTCTCTGCCAGCTCCCTCTGGCTTTTGCAGAAGTCCTTTGCATGATGAGAGTGCATTCAAAAGAAGCTTAACTATCGGCTGTCTGTTTTAGGACATATTCAACTTTCTGAAAAAGTGCTAATCCTCAGTTAAAAAAAAAAAAAAACAGCCCCCGGCACGTGAGCTCTTACACCGAGTAGCAGAGAAAGCAGTTTCTCTAGAAATCTCATTAACATTGTCCCTCTTTGTTTTCCGCATGTTTTCCTCTCTTATTTACTTCTTGATCATTTGTGTTCCTTGTCTATTCCTCTCTTATCTCCCGTTCTTTAGAATTCAACATTTTCTCTGGTTCCTTTTCTGGCTCTTTATTTCCTTTAAATGTTGCTCGTGCATTTTTTAAAAAAAACATTTCCAACAATCCCTCAAACATCCCGCCCTCCATATTCAGATTGAACATACTTTTAATATCTTTATATTTTACCACAATTAATTCAATCCTTTTTTTTTCTTTATTCCACACTTTAATATCAGATCCCAGTCCACTTCTAAGAACCTTTATTTTCTTCCTCAGCCGTAGACAAAATGAAGTCGAATAGTAGAAAGGAAGCACACCCTTCTTCAACAGCTTTGTTTCAAAATGCCATTATGCTTCTTCAGAGAAAGTAGCTTCTGTCTTTCTCCTGCTCCACCCTACAGCCCAGAGGTGGGTTCCTACCAGTTCGCACCTATTCGGTAGAACCGGTTTGTCAAATCTACCGAACCGGTTAGAAGAGGTTCCACCAGTGGAC